CTGTCTTTTTTAATTTTATTGCTTGGTTGTTGTTTTTTCTATAATAGGTTGGCCCCCCCCCCCGGTCTCCTATCCTGAGCTATCTCTTACTTCCATATTCAGGGATGTCTTCTTGTTGGATAAGTGTTGCTCCTGAATTGGCAACAAAAGTTGCCATTTACACCACTCACTGTTCAGATTGCTCTTAATTCACATTAATTGCTGTTAGTGCTAAGAATAGACAGAAAGTCCTTCCTAACGCTTGCTGTCTTGGCTGCTCCTGCTGCCTCTGACAATGACAAAATTTTTTTTTCAGCCCCCTTCAAGAAACAGACGAGAAAGAGCTGAATTGAGGCCAGATTTCTTTGACTCCGCAGCTATCATTGAAGATGATTCGGTAAGATTTCACAAGGTATTGTTTGCCACTTGGAGCTGCAAAGGATTCTCCTGTGCGTAACTTTTGTTCTCAATTATCTTTCCCAGGGATTTGGAATGCCAATGTTCTGAAGTCTGGCGAAGACGCTATACAAATGTGGAACTCTGTTCTTTAGAGCTCAAGGCCTATATACTGTGATAGCTTATATGAAAACCACATTTTTGATGTGATTTGGTTTGATTTTTAACCAAATTATTAAGGTCATTTCCTTTTTGTAATGAGAGAGAAGAGGAGCTTCTTAATGAAACAAAGAATATTGGCCAGTCACCTCAGAAAGGCTGACCTACAAATCATTTGTTTCCCTGTCCTTGACAGTCCTAATGCAGGTTTTTTTTCCTGGATGGGGAGAAGCTTTTAAATTAAAACAGTTAAAAAATAAACACTGTTCTACACATTTTCAGAAAACATTGAATGAAAACAAAACTTTTTAACTTTATTTTTCTGCTGTACAACTTCAAAATGTTTTAACATTTGCCTTTTTATGTTTTAGAAGCTAGCCATTTTATTAAATTTATGCCTGTCAGCCATTGACCAGCAGTGATGCTATCAGCAGGCCATCCTGGCTGGAGAAGTGTTGTTAAACGCACTGGATGTGACTAGCAGTGTGGTACACTTCTAGATCCTCTCTGACCATTGAGAGTGGAACACTCTTGCAAAAGAGGCTAGAAGTCAGGTGTATGCATCTCTGCCAAAAAGTCAGATTCTGAAAAGAAAAAAATCCCCAGATTTTATACTTCTGAGAAGATTTATTTTTTATTTATAAGAGGGCATAAAATAAGAGATGTCCATAAGCCACTTTTCCAACAGACGCTGTGTAACATTCATTTTATATAGCACTAGGGGAACACACAAACAGCACATTTTCTATTGGTACTTGTTCTGTGCATTTTTAGCAACTTATACCAGCAAATAAAATATTCTCAGAAAAACAAACCAGTGGTTCTAAAGTAATCTATTTGCTGTTTCTACTACCTATTTCATGGCCTGTCAGATCTGAGGTACAAAAGCAGCAACTTTCCTGAGGAATGCAAATCACCGGGTGGGGTGGTGGGAGGAGGGAGACAGAAGTCACACTTGCATTTTCAAAGCAATTTTAACTGTACCATAGAGAAGTGTCTAACTTTCCATGCCGTAAATACCCTTTTGTGCTATTTTTGTAAATTAATTTTGCCAGTTAGATTTACTGTATGTGCTGCATAGAAACTTGTGCTTAGATGGTGACGTTCTTAAGCTTACAATGGAATACAGCTACATTCTCAGTGTTAACTGTGCATTATTAAGAGTAATTATTAAATGATTTTCTAAAAAGCAGAACAATCCAAAAAAACAATCAGCTAATTATTTGTTCTAAGATATTTTCAGTGTCTTCAATGATCTGGACTTTCACTCTGCTTTGATATTATGATTCTTCCTGGTAGCTGCTAATGTAGTTAAAGGACTGATTTTGTTCCTCGGAGGTGAGCACAGCTCCTGTTAATAAGACCATTTGTAAAAATGAGGCCAAACTAGTCTTCTTTTTGGAGTTTAAATGTTAGTGTGCTTTAAAGCAGATCTAAATTGACCCAGTTCTAATATACCTGCTTCAGAGGTGTTTTTTGATAGCAGTTGCAAAATAACTCTGACCTACCTCCCATAAAGGTCCTTTTATTGAATTCAAGGTGCACCCAATCCTTACTTGCCTTTTGGGAGACAAAGACAACATTTAAATCAAATCATTTAGTTGGGATTTCCCCTCCTAAAAATTGTACAGTACTGAAATTTTGGTTGCCAAAAACATCTAATAATTCAAGCAAGGCAGTTGTTTAGGAACTGAAAAGTTGCTAAAGTCACTGAGTTGGTGCTTCAGGACAAAGTACAAGTTCTCGCAAAACAGTGGACACAAATGGTGCAGTAGCACTTCAGTGTAGTGGGCAGAGTGGCATAGCTGCTGGTGGTTTAAATCCATCAGAGACAAACCTTGTGTTCCACAGCCCTTCTTCATATGGAAAATTGAATTTTAATTGATCCTTATAGAATTCTGTAAAACAAAAGCCGTTTACAACTAAGTTACCTCCAATGGGTTTCCAGTTCTGTTTGCGGTCAATAGGTTTTTAAAAATGTGTCTCCTTGATTGGTTTTGCTAGTAATTCTGTAAATTGTACATTTACAATTTGAGGTTTTTTCCTTTTGTACAATTTAAAACTGATGCTTCACTTTGCTTTTAATAAACTCCTCAAAATCACATGTGCGGTGGAGTCCTTTCCACAAAAGCATTTGAAAATGGGTGCTTTCTATTTGGTATGTCTTCCACTAAATATTTTCCTATAGTGAAGCTTGAAAGTGTGCTAATCCTGCTGCTTGCCCAGCATTCTGGGCAGATCAGACATTGAGGGTTTTCCCTTCTGCAGTAAGAGTGAACATGTTTCACCCTTAAGTGAAACATTTCAGCATCTTTGAAAACCTTACATTTCCCCCAAGCAGTTGCTGTTCCTTACCCATACCTAAGGTGTAATTCAAGTAAATAGATTCAGAGCATGTGGAGTTGAGATTGGGGCTGATACTGTTGACCTGTAATGTGCACAGAAAACTTTGCAGAATCCGATTGATGGTACAGGATTCAGAAGTCTCCTGCTTTCATTGAAAGAACCACCACCTCATGATTGTACAATAGGTGTGTACAAAAGCCCTCCAGAATTCAGTAGACATTCATTGTTTCTCCTGTCAATACACTTATTGCCCAAGCCTATCCTGCCACCACTTTGGTGGTTATTTATACAAAAGCATAACAAGTTCAAAAAAAAGCATTTAATAAATCAACTTGGAAGATTGTGGTTATGCTGCACATTGAAATGGGAGTTTCCTGTAAGTGAGACCTTACTTGACAGTGAAAGAAAAATACAGAATTCAGCCAATCTTTTTTGCTGAAATGGGACAGAAACCTGAGTTGGGTTTCCACAGTCTGTCTCCTTGTCTGAGTTGATGAGGTGAAGTACTTTTCTCTACACCTGGCAAACACCTGAGAATGGAAGAACTTACCATAAAACAATAGATTGTAGACTGGCTTTGACAAATATTATATGGCTTCTGGTTCCATGATGTAAGATTGGTAGAGTGTAAATTAATATTTATTTATTTTTTATTTTTAAAAAGATCTCTCCAGATATGTGGTCTCCTATATATCTTATTGACAGAATGCCTGTAGCTCCTCTGGATCTTATCTTCTACCCCTGCCCACCCATGATAAGTGTATAGATTTTAGCATTTTTGGCTATTTCTACCAGTAGAGTCCAGAAGCCATGCAACACATTTGTACAGCAACTTGATGTCAACCACAGTTGATTCAATAGGTCTACATAAAGTACTGTTATCTCTTTGGACTCTTTAAATTCACCCTCTGACAAAGGAAACTTCCCTGCCCAAAGGGTGCAGCAGCTTTACACTAAGCAAGGAGAAAAATGATCCAACTTCTAGAAGTAGAAATCAACTTTTCTATTGTGACCCTATCCAATCTATTCATTGGCAAACAATAATTGTTCTCTTAAACACAGATTATAGAACACACTTCGGAATTCTGTACAATTGTGAAAACCCATATGAAAAAACAGCGAGTGTCTGTTGTAAAGAACATCTGCTATTTTTATAGGGTTGTTGAACCCTGGACTAAATATTGATACTTGAGTGATAATATTATTGGAACAGCAATGCAGTGGAATATTTGTGGTTTAGTGTCCCACTTTTAGTCATAACTTTCTTTTCTTGGTTCCCTAATAAGTACAAATGTCCTTACGTTTAAATATTACTTTTAATTTTCATGCCCGCAGCTTTAGTAGTAGCATACATGTTAGGTGCTCTATTGCTGCAAAATCTCTCTGCCCTAAAGGGCTGCCAACCATAGACAGGAAAATGTGGATAAGGTTAAAGGAGTTAGTCACAAAGATGCTCTAGTCTTAATAGAGCTCATGTGCTTCGCTACCTTGATACTTGAAGTTTTTGCCTGGCATTACTAATACATCGGGTGTAAGGTGCCTGTCTGTTGTCTAGGAGATGTCATTTAGAACAACTTGTGACAGTATTCTCTGGCTGCATCAGCCAGCTTTATCTTGCCTTTTTGATATTGTCCTGTCCATCACTAGCTGCTACTCTTATTAGTTCAATTAATCTTGAATGGTGCAAGTATGCTGGCAGGTGGTCTTGTCCAAATTAATTATCCCAATGTGTTCATTAAAATGCTCGTAAATGGTAATCCTTTCTGTTATTGGAACAAGATGAGGAATGCATCCACCTTCTGCATACCAAACAGGAATATTAATATTGCTGACTTATGAACCTTGTTTCCTTCTGACCTCAAATACATTGTTATGAGTCCATGCTGTTCTTGTTTCTAGCATATCCACTGTCCCTAACCATGTCAATTACATAGTCTCTTTTAACCCTGTTTTGTCTATGCTTAATAACCATTACTTACCAACACACTTGTAAATGTGTTTCAACTGCTGTCTTAACTCACCCTCTCAATTACAAGAGCTCTGCAGAGATGAGGTGGACTTAAAGGTGGGACTTGTAAATACTTAGGGCTACATAAATACCCGTTTGTATAGTTCTTCTCTAAATTGTTTGTATTGGAAATTTATTGTAGTTTTACTAACAATTACAGAAGAATCTTGGAACAGATTACTCCAATATAATAAACAGTGACCAATTTTTTTCCAAATTACCTTTTCATGGTTTTTGTATTGTGTGCACTAAATATCTACTTCACCTGAACCTATGCATGTAAGACAGGAGGACTTCTAGTCTGTCCATTATGGGTTAGAACTATTGCTATTACGACTTTTCTGTCAAAGGCTTTGAATATTTGTTAGCCCAGTCTTCTATCTTTTCCCCTTGGACAAATCCCAGTTCGGTCCTGGATATGGATTCTGAAGCTCCATTACTGGCTAAAACTAATTTTCTTCCCGGTAAGCCTGGCACCCTTGATTTTAATTGTCAAACATTGTCAAACAAAATGGAAATCCTCACTGCAAAAGAAACTGACAAGTCTAGGGTTCACACTGCAGGCTCTGATAACCTGTAGATATGAGAGAGCCACATCCACAAGTAAGCAACGAATATGGGATGTTGAGCTGCAATGCCACATGAGTGAAATGACAAAGTATCTAGAAATTAAAGATAATGGCAGGGGGTTTACTCCAGCAAGGTATTTCTCCAAAACAGAAATACCCAAATTTAGAAGAGCTCTTACCCTTGCCAGATTTAATCTTTCCATCAGCATTACTGCAGGGCAGATTTGAAGGCAAACCATATTCACAGTGAACATGCCTGTGGGGTTTGAAGGAAGTTGAAACTGCTACGCATGCCCTGCTACATTGTCATTACTACAAAGCTATACACATTATATTTATCACGCCAAGCATGCAGTAAACCCCAAGCAGAACTGATGATTATTACTTAAAATACTTAATAGAGGGCAGAGAACCAGAGATTACCTTAAAAGTGGCTAAATTATGTATGTAAGGTATATCAGGCCAGAATGAATGAACCTCTTTTGGCCTGCTTGGTTCTACCTGGCATAAGGGCTCCTCAATTAGCAGTACTATGCATAGGCACAAAGGAGAATCGTCTCTCACAAGCCTCTCGGAGGCCTAAAACAATCTCTTGCGGTAGGAGAATAGTCTTGTTAGGTAGCTGATGAGACCAAAATCTGACAGATAAGAAATTTATACTGAATAACATCTGCATTAGAAAATCTTGAAATCCTGTAATATTTTCTTGCGATGAATCCCATGCAGGTAATTTCCATCTCCCCTTGCAGGAGTTAAATCCTGTTTTGCATTATTATCCTCTGAATCTAATCCACAAATAATCTCCCCACAGACAATCTTGTTTAAAGGAAACCAAATAGTTTAATTCCATATTCTCTTAGACTTCTGTTGCAATATGCTGGCTTTACATTTATGTATGATTATCCGTTCTGTCTTTAGACTGTCAAAGATCAAGTTCCAGCATATCGTGACAACTTCCATATGTTGTACCTTTTGCTTAAATGTACAATTGATTCCTTGTCTACAATCTCATAGTATCCCAACCCTTCTAGAATATAATCCATAAAAATTTCCACATACTTCCGACGATTCAGAGTCAGGATTTGAGTTGGGCTGCGCTGCTTTCCTGGCAACAGATCATCCCTTTTCCTTAAAACAAATTCAGAGAGGAATATTGGCATGCTTCTTCCAGGGGTTGGATTGTCTTTTGCTAGCCAGGACTTCCAAGTCACGGCAGATTCGCAGTCGAGTTGAAGAAGGTTGGATGATGTCATCAACAAACCCTGTTATAAAACAGGTTTGACAGTTTATTCCCATTGCTCTGTAACTGCTTCTGCAGCAGAAAGCATCATGCAGTAGATAATCCTTTAATAGGTTCACATTAGCCTTCCACCAAATCGAAGTTGATGTTTTGTGCAAGCTGCTCCAGAGGAAGCCATGAACTGCTAAAGTGTTGCATATCTTATTCATCAACTTAAATACAAACAAATTCCTCTAAAAAGGGATAAATCAGGATTTTAGGGTGTACTGATCACCAATATTTGATTTCATGATATAAGTCCACAGAAATGTTTCATTTTTCCAAACAAGCAAGGGAGGAGAAACCACCATTCAAGCCAAACATCTGGAATATGGCTTTGCAAAAACATTTGCCATCATTCTGATTACATTTACATATGAAAACTGAACAATTTTACTGCAATTCTGCAAGTTCCCATCTCTCTCTTGTAATTTTTAAAAGAAGAAAACCACTTCAGAAACACTGCAAATTATGCTGTTCAACACAGAGATAATTTTACTTCAGAATTACTATAATAAGTTTAAGGTCTCATCTCAGATGCATAACCTCTAAGCAAAGGGATTGGGGATCTTAAATAATGCTCTGATTAAACAATCATGCCATGGCTCTCAAAGGCAGAGGATTCGAGTCGTCTAGAAGCAGGGGATACAACTAAAAATAAGTGGCTCCGATCTGGGCCTGATCGTGAAACACATAGCTATAAATGTTAAAGAGCATTGGTGGCCTAGTAATTTCTGCTTTGCATTCCGAACAATGCACTGTAATACATATATACACACACACACCAATGCATCGTACATGTGGGTGGAGGAAGGTCTACCAGGCATCCCCATGTGGCTCCATATCAGTCAAGTCACAGCTACCTGCCCCCAAATGGTGTTTGCAAGCCCATCAGTTGATGGTCTGTGCTTGCAAAGAAGTGGCTTTGCAAGACCTGAAGATCAGCTGATTGTTGGTGCTTTACATTCTGTGCCTTTGCCCACATTTTGATAAATGCAATGAACTGTAATATGAAAATATATTCCCCTTTGCTCCACATGCCTGAATTGACTTTCTTAAATGTTCAATCTGCCAGGAAGGTAGTTGGCTAGAGTTTATATACACTTCAATTTTGTAACTATGCTTTGCAGAGATCAATGTTTAAGAAGGGACAACCCCTTCTTAAGAAAGAATTTTAGTTAAAATTTAGAAAACCAGTGCTCTATGCTTTGAATTTTTTTTAAAGCAAGTAACCACAGTATCTCAATTCAGATGAAATGGGAAATGATGATTACTTAAGAGACTTCATGGTTTGATTGCCTGCATAGAGGAAGAACAAAGGGGCTGGCGGAGGAACAAAATTCTAATTCATATTAGCTTATTAACCTCATACATGATAATCTGAATGCAGTTAAAATAAACACCCAAATAAGAAGTGAAAGAACACTGAAATCACAATAAAAAACTTAACTTATGTATCTGAAATTTCAATAATAGACAATCTCAAAGCCACTACCTTTGGTTGCTGCAGGGAAAGGATTTGCAAACTTTTCCACATACTCTGCTTCTGCATGTGCCCCCTTCCCCCTGAAAATTATCTGCACAGCTCCCTAAGAAGAAAATGAAAGAATATGATATTATTGCAACCTATAGTTCTAAAGGCCTTTGGAATGGATTTGGTCATCATTAAACCATTTACAACAAGGGTGGGGAACTTCCAGCTTGCAGGCAATCAGGCCCCTGCAAGCATTCCCCATTTGGCCTCTAAGGCTATTTTGGCCAAGCCACACCCACCTGCTCTACACCTGATGTAGTATGCTATCAGGTGTGGAGCAGGTAAAAACTTGTCTCAGCCAAAAGGGGATCTGAAGGCACAGGAGATCAGCTAATTGGCATTGCTTGCAGAGTGCTGGGCAAGAGAGCACTTTGAAAAGGGCTTCTGCAGACTCCTGTGGGCAAAAAAAAGAAGAAGTTGTATGCCATCAAGTGATTGACCCATGCGGGAGGGTGGTGTAACAATCTGGCCTACCTGCCAGACCCAGATAAGCTGAGTGCAAATGGGGACAAAGTGAGAATTACCTTGGCACCCATCACTGCTACCTCTGCTGTTGGCCATGCATAATTAGCATCTCCTCTTAAATGTTTTGAACTCATCACATCATAGGCCCCACCATAAGCCTGGAGCAGGAATAAAGTGTCAACAAGTTATGTACTGTATTCAATCATTATGTTTATATACCAGGATAGTTAGTCTCTTAATATTAAGAGTATGAAAGCAGACAATTCCTACTATAACCATTCAAAAATTACGTGATATAGTTATCATGAAGCATCCACTCTCACTTATTTAAAGCATTTTCAAATTCCAGTAGAATGGCCTAGCTTTCCTTCTCTCTTTCCTTCATCTTTCCCTTTCTCCACTTACAGACTTTTTAACCTATATAGTTTATTCCTTTATATCTTGATATCTTTAAAAGGGCCATAGCTCAGTGGCAGAACATCTGGCTTGCATGTAGAAGATCCCAGGTTCAGTCCCTGGCCATTTCCAGGCAGGGGTGGGAATGTTCCCTTTCGGAAACATTGGAAAGCCTCTGCAAGTCAATGCAGAGAATACTAAGCTAGATAGACCAATGGCCAGACTCTGAATAAGGAAGCATCCTACATTCCAAAACGTGTAATGTCCCTTAAACATCCCCTCATATTTATCCTCCGCCATAGCCAGCCCTAGAACTATTTAAGAAATTTGCAAAAATAGTTAAATGCTTGGCAATATTAGAATACAATTACTAACTATACCTAAGAAAAGAGCAGCACATAAAACAGATGATAAATCTCATGCAGCAGCTTCAATGTTAAAAGTGTGGGCCTATTAAAAGACTTGGCCCGGTGCCTAAAACTCATCAAGTTAGGCATCAGGCAATTAGCCCTGGAATGAGTGTTCCCAAACTAGAAATAACATATAATCCAAGACTTCAGGTTGAGATTGTGTATGTATAAGGCAGTTATATTCAGATTCTACATAAAAGAACTTATGTGAGAGTCATTAGGCTAGAAGTGGATCTGAAGGCAGCATTTGTTAAGGGGAAACAGGCTTGATTGTGAGGTATCTAGAGAAATTAAGCAGTATTAGTGAAGCAAAAAATGATGTTATATTATGATAGAAAAAATTGAAACAGAGCTTGGAAGAACTGGTGTTGATGAGGTCAGCTGAGCTGAAGATAAGACAAATATCTTCTATGCATTCTCAACAGCGTGTGGCAGCTAGCAACTATAAAATACAATTTTACTTCACCTTCCTTGTGATAATAGTGATTTTTGGCACAGTTGCTTCTGCAAAAGCGAAGAGCAGTTTTGCTCCGTGGCGTATAATCCCACCATATTCCTGAGATGTCCCTGAAAATAACAGGAACCAGCAAAACATGGTTAAAGGAAATTTACTACATCCAAGAATGGATATTTAATAAGAAACTATACGCCCAGCACTAATTAAGATAGCTGTTAAAAGCCTCTACAAGAGTAGAGGTAGACTGCATGACTGCATCAAACATCAACCAGCAGGCTGGGTATCGTGGAGGGTAAGGCTATGTTCTACCTCCACTGTCAGAGGCAGTATGCATCTATAGAAGAGAGGCTGGGAATTTCATGTGGGAAGAATGCTGCTTGCAGGCATTGCACAGGCATCTAGTAGACCACTGGGAGAACAAGGTGGTAAGACTAGATGAGCCTTTGGCCTGATCCAGCAGGAACTTTTCATATGCTCTTATAATAGATCTACATACAGCCTTGTAGCAAAGCCAACATAACCTTCTACATGGCAATTCTTGGTTTGACTGAAAGGGATCCACTGAGCCAAAACCTTTTATTACACCAAAATCTTATCCTATTTCTACTGTTTTAATTATATGTGATTAAATGGCACCAATAAATGCGTTCTACAAATGTCAGCCTCGTGATTCAGCACTCGCCTGAAGCACAGGCAAGCAACTACTACTTAAGGAGAGCAAGTATCCCTATTACCTCCATAATATTCACCAGCACAGGAGCTAAAGCTATAAACGCAGGCTATATAATGCAGCTTTATTTAATACAGGTCAGTGCCATGAAGAGCTGTATCCACGACACTCATTCACATTTGAAAGCTATAGAGCCCCCATAGAGAGATCTAAAAGACTGCTTCCTGGTGTATACAAAGTACTTAAACTAATTGTGTACTTAAAGAAGGATGACACAGGGCAGTTAAGTTGGATGAAAAGACTAATACTTTTTCTTTCTCTAGTGTTTTTCACATACTTTTTATTTCAGTGGATTTCGCACCACTACTAAACTCTCTCCGGGAATAAAATCTCTGTGAGAATGTTCAACCTCACGATGATAAATGTTAAAATGCGACTGATGTCATTTTACACATGTAACAGGAAGGAGGAAGCTGTGCAAAGGACAGAGTAATGGCTTTACCTCTGCACTTGAAATAAAAAGTAACCCCACCTCCCAATTCCTTGAATACAAGGACTATTTTCAGTTCAGTAAGAAGAATCAAGTGAAATATCTTCCACTCAATTCATTTCCATCTTCAGTCAAATAGGATGCAGAAGAAAAACCTACCTGGTAAAAATCCAGGTACATCTACAAAAGTTATCAGAGGAATGTTGAAAGCATCACAGAAGCGAACAAAACGGGCTCCCTTCACGGAGGAGTTTATGTCCAAACAGCCTAAATTTCAAACAAAGTAGACAAGATTCTTACAAGGCTTTTCAAGAACATTTTGCAGTGGCCGGTGTATACAAAAAGTGACATTCAATGTTCATCATACTTGGGATACTCATTAAAATTGATGTGTCTACCCTGAGTATGACTTTGTTGGATATCACCCAAACAGGCAACACCAGCAACATTTTACACACCCTATGCAAAAGAACGTTTTCTACCTCCTTGTGAAATACTGAACAGAGTTTATCTAACCTGCATAAATGTTCACGAAACACGTACTCTTGCTTTTCTCAGGAAGCTGTTATCTATTACTACATTTTAGCTTTGTAAGTCGTTTACATTAATCTGTGATGGGGAGGGAATCAAAACAAGCAATATCAATATGGCGGCTGAATTCTATTCCATTCTCTAAAATGCTACTTGCCCCAGCAAACGCCAACAATTTAGAGACCAAAACACTTACATATAAATCTTGTAACAACATGTGTTATGTTGGTAACCATGACCACCATTGGATGTTTCAGACTGAGATGCCTGAAATCTTGGTATAATTGCAGGACTAATCCTATAATTCACTGATGCCGAAAGATTTCTAACATCTTCAGCTGACCAAGGTTATCAACATAAAACATTTCTTTTTACGGGATGTATATCTAAGCAGTTAGTCTTGGAAGTCGAATACTTTGCCAAAAGTGTAAAACGACCCGATGGACTGGAGGGAGGAAAGAAGAGAAGGAAAGAAGGTGGTGACATGTGGGTGGGTGTATAAAAGGGATCCCAGGAGAGGGAAATAGAAATGGTGGTGTTATGATAACACCACCAACACACCACTTATTTAAACCTAAAAGCACATCTCGTTTCATGGTTCTTTGAATACTGGCCAGCGGTACTTACAAAGCATGAACAACCCAAGGATGTAAAGCAGGTTTTACTCTATTTGCAGTATGCTCAGAGTGCCAAACCTTCATCTTAATTGCAAAAGAACACTAAACACTACCTTAGGACCAATTTTTTTTGAGAGAACATATTGAGCTATTCAGCAATGAGGTTTTAAACAGATGCAACATGCAAATGTAAGTTTTCCAACCTTTCAACATAAATTGACATTACGAAGGTTCCCGGCCACTGCCACCCTCCTCTTACCTGATGCTACTTTGGGCTGGTTGCCAACTATTCCAACAGTTCTTCCGTTCATTCTGGCAAATCCAACAATGATATTTCTGGCATAGGAGGGCATGATCTCAAAGAATTCTCTCTCATCAACTATCTACACAAATGAGATTCAAATATCTTACTGTTGCGGAGCAGTGAAATACACACTCCTATAGATATCTGTATCACACAAAGGTGATTTAAAATTTAAGATAGTTGAAACAGTATTTTAAAAATCTTTTTCAATATACTGTTCTTAAGCAGTGCCGGATTTACGTATAAGCTAAACAAGCTATAGCTTAGGGCCCCACTCTCTTGGGGCCCCCAAAAAATTTAAAGGGGAAAAAAGCTGGATGTACATTTCCAATTGCATTTCAGTTCAACAATTACTTTGATAAAATACATATTTTGTTATGTGCAAATGGCTTTAGATACCTATTAGGTCCAGCAATTACCATCTAGCATATATACAACATAAAAAACAGTGACAATTTGTAGTTGACAAAGGACAGTTGGACATATAAAGGGCCCCATTACCTTCAGAAGCCTAGGGCCTCATCAAACCTAAATTCGGTCCTGCTCTTAAGATGTCTTGTTGACAGTGCTCTTCTATACAGCACTAAATTAAAATATGTTAGTAAGATTCATTTTGAAATTCCTGACAGATCCTGGTTAGATTTATGGTTCCATTGGGTAATATCCAAAATTAAGAGTGCATCATGGGGCTGGAGAGACATTTCACCACCCTAAATTTGGCATCTGGACCCTAGAGGGTTTGCAACAAGACCATATGGCCCTCAGACCAATAAAGGCCCCTCTGTTTTAGACATAGAATGAGGTCAAAGGATGCTCACATCAACATAAAATCTTTATTATTTTTTAAAAATGGAGAAAGATCAGTGACTCACCCTGGAGCTCAGCCACTTACAACACCTCCAAAGCGTGGTATCCAATTATAGTTGACTCTCAAAACAATGAATATTGTAACCATATTTTACACTTACTATATGGAAATCAAACACCATGGAAATAATTAAAGCTATACATCTTCTTTATATGTGAAATCAATGGTAGTTAATGTGGCCATCAAGACCATTTCCTCAGATACAGTGATATAATGCAATTTAGAATCAATTTTAACCCACAGGTTGCATAACCTTTTGTCAAATGGTGAGAATAAAGGTGAAGAACTCTTATATATATCCAGTTATATTCCTTTTACCACTTTTACTACGGAACACATTTCTAAATAACAGAATTTTTGCAGCCTGCATACATACAAGAAAATACATGCAAGTTGTATTTACAACTTGTAACAATTCTCAGAGGCAATAGATATTTATGCATCATGTGTAAACACAAAATTATCCAATAGCTGTAATACACTGGCACACAGAGCTTACCGAATGCACAATATCCACCATGTCATAAGCTTTAGTAGATTCCATCGGGACAATGGTATCCAACTCAGGAACCAACCGGTTGCTTTAAACACAGAGAATGGAAAGGAATAAACTTACATCGTATCATAATTCATATGAGAAAATTACTCATGTGAGGAGACATGACTACAACCTAGGACTATTTGACTGAATTCCAGAATTCAGAATTCAATTCCAGAATATTGAGAGAATGAAGGAGATGTTTATTTTTTCTTTTACTTTATTCTCCTTGTTTACAATAAAGGACCCTCCAACACTGAGATGGATCCAAATATGTGTCCTGCTTGCACTGGAGGATGGAGAAGAGCAGGAAATTTTTGTTAATCTGCAGTCCATTGTGCCCCCGAAAAGCTGTTCCAGAAAGTTAGGGGACACTCCATGTTAGCATGGAACATATTGCTGGGGCTGGTGGGAACATCGACAAAAACATCTATCCTACCCCCTTATGGATCAACCAAGAGCCTTTTGCTGGATTTTGGCTGCCTTCAAAAATGGAAGGGAAATCCGAATTCAACCCATTCTCTTTAGTTGACTTGTTGCATTTTCAGATACTACTTAGGAAAGAACAGCCTCATTTTGTTAACCAGCAAAAGGAAGTGAGGCAGAAGTGTAAAAGAAAATATCCAAAATCTGGTCCATCAACTGAACGGCAACATATACCATACCCTTCCACTGCTGTTAAAGGAGAATTTTTGTTTTCTACCCTTCAGACCTCCAACAGGAATCTCTGTGAAGGAGTATCTATAACACATGGAAGCCAAAGTCCCATTGCATCCCACTTCACAAGACTTAATTGTGAATCTATCCAAGAATAATAAAATCACCCAGGAATTTTATTTCCTAAATGGGTTCAAAGGGATAGGTGTCTCCTTCAATGATACAAATCGAGAAAATCATACAAGCAAAGACCGAATAACACACGTCCTAAAGATGCATGATCGTACAAGCACATATGGTGCCGAACCAAGAAGTTACCAAATACATCACTCAGCATGTCACAGAAAAGGCAGAACAGGGCGGGGTGCACTTATACGTGCTCTGCCAACGCATGTGGGGCTCTAGAACAGAACGCCCACGTGAAATGGGCATTGCCTGTAACTCTGCAGACATCTGACGGGATAAACTCTGAAACACACTTTGATTCTATGAACATCTATTATTTGTAAATATAACTTACATAGGGTCATGGCATTCTCTGACAGGAGCTGGATCCTTATTGCTAAGCGGTAGGTAATTAAAAAACTCTCTGAGATTGAGCAAAGCATCTATGTCATTCTCAAAGGCACAGTGTGCAACCCCTATAATACAAAAAAATCAAACATCCATCTGACTTTGCAAAGATTCCAATGAACTTTCCAACAGGACAAGCAATAGATCTTCACAGCAAACTCTTAAAGCTCTAAAATGTCATAGCATTAACTGAAATGCCAGTGGATATTCTTAATGTCCACCAAAAGAAACAGTGTCGGTTCAACAGTCATATTTGATCAACTGTGTTTTACACACATCTACTTCCACCTCAAACATACATCCTAGTATTGTTCCACTCCATCTTGCATTTCAAGGGTCATACTGAACCCCTATTTTCAGCCTCTTTGCAAAATAAATAAAGCAGGTGTTAAATGTATCTAAAAGACTGTGTCTGTGGATGTATATGAGTGAGAGTGAGAGAAAGAAAGAGATGTGGCCCTATCTACCACTGGCAGCAGCCCCAGGAAGGTTAGTTACAAGGGAATGTAGCCATCAGGCTAAAAACAGTTTTGCACCCATGTTACTGAGGTTTACAAAGTTAGGAAAGTGGCAGAGAGCGCCCCGCCCCCCCAGTACTAGAAATCATGTTCAACCAATGAAAATGACTAGCAAGAAAGATAGAAGAAAAAGTATTTTTGCACATAGTCACATCAGCAACTATGAGCCATTATGGCTAAACAGGATCCCCATGCATAGAAGCATGCTGGGTGCAACATGGACAGGGATCAAATATGGTCTGAATCTCAACATCAAAAAAACGAAGATCATGGCCACTGGTCCCATCACCTCCTGGCAAATAGAAGGGGAAGAAATGGAGGCAGTGAGAGATTTTACTTTCTTGGGCTCCATGATCACTGCAGATGGTGACAGCAGCCACGAAATTAAAAGACGCCTGCTTCTTGGGAGAAGGGCAATGACAGGCCTAGACAGCATCTTGAGAAGTAGAGACGTCACCTTGCCAACAAAGGTCCGTATAGTTAAAGCCATGGTTTTCCCAGTAGTGATGTATGGAAGTGAGAGCTGGACCATAAAGAAGGCTGATCGCCAAAGAATTGATGCTTTTGAATAATGGTGCTGGAGAAGACTCTTGAGAGTCCCATGGACTGCAAGAAGATCAAACGCATCCATTCTTAAGAAAATCAGCCCTGAGTGCTCACTGGAAGGACAGATTGTGAAGCTGAGGCTCCAATACTTTGGCCACCTCATGAGAAGAGAAGACTCCCTGGAGAAGACACTGCTGCTGGGAAAGATGGAGGGCACAAGGAGAAGGGGGCAACAGAGGACAAGATGGTTGGATAGTGTTTTCGAGGTTACCAGCATGAGTTTGACCAAACTGCGGGAGGTAGAGGAGGACAGAGGTGCCTGGCGTGCTCTGGTCCATGGGGTCACGAAGAGTCGGACACGACTAAACGACTAAACAACAAAAATGGTACATTTCCCCCTTGACGCTTATTAGACAGGAGCAGCCCCAGTATCTCCATCTCTCTTACACACATTCTCTTACAATACATCTAATAACAGTCTTCTGTCACCCCCCTGCAGTGTAATTTTCAGCCAAAGACAACCAGCTGGTATTTTTATTATGTTCCAAACCAGACATCCCCAACCTTTGGCCCTCCAGATGTTTTGGACTACAATTCCCATCATCCCTAACCACTGGCCCTGTTAGCTAGAGATCATCGGAGTTGTAGGCCAAAACATCTGGAGGGCGCAAGTTGGGGATGCCTATTCCAAACTAATCTGCAAGACTAATTTTATATGACTGGACTACTATGTTCTTCATATTGTTCTCCAATCACTTCATAAGGGGACTGCAAACAGGAGCAAATGTTAATTATAAACAACAACAATTTCAGACCTGATACTGCAGTGTGGGTCTTTGCACCTCCAAGTTGCTCCTGAGTAACATCTTCATTGGTGACTGATTTGACTACATCAGGGCCTGTTATGAATAGATAGGATGTGTCCTGCAAGAAACAACAACTGCAAAGTATGAGGTGCAAGATGTGACATTCTCTGTGTTTGCATTTTTCATCCCTTAGTGCTTTCAAAGTAGGAAAACTTAATTTTAAAAGGTCCAAATATTTCAATTTCATATTTCAAACTAACAAGGCATTTGGTTGGAATTGACTCTAATTTAACCATAGTCCTCAGCAGATCACACAGCTGGTACATGGGATTCCCAGTAAAGTATTTGCATCCCAGTATTTGCAAAAAAATACAGCACAGACTGTGCCACCTTAACTGCAGGTCCAGTACCACTGAAATTTCCAGTTTTAATATCCTCTCTCATTTTTCATTTCCAAGCAAGACAATTTTTACAGCTCAAAGCCAACCGACTCAATAGCTATTTAAGACACGGCATAATTAGAAGATGTGAAAGGTGACAGCTACAGCCTGAAATAGAAGGCAGTTTTAAAAAAAGATGTTATTCCTTAAGCCAGAGCTTCTAAAGGAACAGAAATACACTCATTTTTAGAGTCAGCCACCACTAGCAAGAAACTCCTTGAAACAACTGCTCTCGTAAGACTCACTCTCTTCATGTTTACTCAGAATCAAGTCCCACTGTGTTCAATGCGGCTTACTCCCTAGTAACTATGTTATTATTGCAGTCAAAGACAACTAACATTACATCCTTACCTTTACCATGAATGTGAAATCTGTTAAAGCAGGAGAGTAGACAGCCCCTCCTGCGCAAGGGCCCATAATAAGAGAAATCTGTGGTATTACCCCAGAACATAGTACATTTCTCTGTAAAAGAAAACAAACATCTCCGTTGCTTACACATTTTATGCCACTTCCAAGTCAAAGTTCCCAAAGCACTCCTAAATCTGTGTTAAGCTTTTGCAACTAACTATTTCATATAAAAATATGAAGTATGTTGTAGGAATATATTAGCCAACAGAAATAACATTCGATCTGTTCTAGCTTCATTGTTCATCCACTAACTGGGATCCTAAACTCTAATCCAAGTTCAAAACCCTGTGCATCAGAACAAATATGGCAAGGAAAAGGGAGAAAAGCACAAGACACAGGCAATGTCAGAGAATTAAGTATCCAGGATCAGATTCATGAAGCAGGCTCTAGCTGAAGTCCCATGTGTACTGAACGCCCCATGTGTTGGTGGCGGCAGCAGCTGCTGCTTCCACCAGCTGGTACAGACAGATGCATATGGAGAGCCGTTTTCCAGCCCTCTTCTAGCTTCAGGGTTGTACTCACAAGCAAGGAGAGAGATGCTGCTACTGCAGTTCATTCACCCACATAATAAAAATTATTCCCTTTGGCTGCCGGGAGAGCTTCATGAATGCTGATGGCTGCAGCTGCTCTCTGTTTGCAGGAGAGGGCAAGGAGAGGGCTAAAATGAGGAACTGAATATGCACTACAGTCTTTATACTTATGGGGAGACGTACTGATCCAACCAGGGAGTCAGGGAGGTATCATTGTGCCTAAAGAGTAACAGTAACTTACAGCAACTGCAAAAGTAATAACCTCCTAAATGAAGTATACTAATTTCAGGGCCTGTTCCCCCTTAATTGTGACTTCTAGCAGCAACACCTAGAAACAACAGCATCTCATGAAAAGAAAATGAGAGAGAAATGTGCATTTTGCCCCTGTATAAATGAGAAAAGCCCCCTCCCTGGCCCCTCGCGCAAGACCTGGAAGCAGCAGGAAAAGAAATGTTGTGTCACTCATGCTTCCCGTTTCATTATGTTTTCAGAATGTCAGAAATGGCTCCTAGGCTATTCATCTGTAGCGTCAAGGATCAACTGGCTTACCTAAGAGGTCTCTTACCAAAAATATATCAGCATAACCAGCCAGGGACTCTACTCCTTCCTGGATCCGGGCCCCTCCAGAATCATTCAACCCAATAACAGGAGCACCAACCATAGCAGCCTGATCCATTATCTGAGGATACAGAAACTCTTGATTTACTAGTGAAGTCCTACCACAAGCTTAATTAACATAAAATAGTGAGTTCCTATTATAATTAATAATCATAAAATAGGATCTCTTTTCATTTTTTATCAGAATGCATCCAAGTCCAATGTCTGTTTCTTGTTACAACATCTACAGATAAACCTCTACTGGCCAGTCAACCACCCCCACATGGCACTATTATTATTAATACACCTTCATGTTCAATTAACTCTTCTCTTTAACATTTGTGCTTGACCATTTTAAACAATGGGCTACTTCACACATAACGCTAAGCCATCATTTAGCATCATGAGCCTCAGAGATCCTCAGGGCTTTGCTCAGCTCACTGAGGCTTGTCTATATAGTTTTAAAACCATAGTTTAGAGTGACATGCAAGCCCGTCCCATCTGATAAAGGGTACTTAAGGATTATAGAGTGCGACAAATGAAAAAAGACAACACAAGATCACAAAAGCACCATAATACAGCAAGATCAAAACTTTATCTAAAAATATTGGGAAAGTAACAATATATTTGATACCCAAACAAATTTGGTGTATCAAACTGGAGGCAGGTATTGGGCAAACCTTTCTGAGGAAGGCCCCACCCATTTTTAACCATTATACATCTATCTTCTAGAAAGGACTATCAAGAGAGGTACATCATCAACTATTTGTTATACTCAGGAAATGTCAAAATTGGGTGCTTCTCACAACTCATATCACCACTTATCAGGAACTGTGACCTCAAATGTACTCCTGAATGAATTAACTGTGAGGTATTTTATCCTAGCAACATCTTGGCTTCTGTAATAACAAATGGACTTCTTATCATTATGAAAAAATAGGTTATGCTTGGAGAGAGGGAATTCAGCAGTACTGGAGCTGAATAAACAATAGGCTATTAAGATTTGGGGGCTTGTACAAGTTGGGTGGCTTAGTTAAAAAGGAACTGCCATGAGTTGAATAAGATGAGATTTCTTTGAAATTCAGGAGTGTTTACACTTATTCTGAAAATGTATCTATCTGTATTGTGTTGAAAAAAATTGTATCTTAAGACTTGAAGACACTAATCAGGAAAGGGGATGAAAGAAACTTCAACGTAGCAAGGATTCGTGTGAGGCATAACATACTTTTAAAAACACTCCATTGTCATATTTTGCAGGCTGCAGGCATTTAAGAATTTTGTAACTATTGTCTTCTAAAATGCTTACCTTGCAGATCTTTTGAGCATGTGCTCCAGATAAACTGCCTCCAAACACAGTGAAGTCCTAAATAAAGATTGTATTTCAAAGATCAAATATAATAATAGCTTAGAATGCCAAATATATATACTAGACTTAGATTCCCCCCCCTGCCTTGCCCTTGAGCACCAGTAAAACAGACTTTTTTGCACTCCCAATTATTCAGTGTAATTGTCTTCAAGCAGGTTGAAAATATCAACAGACTTCACCCTCATGGAAGGAGTGCAATCTATCCCTACACAGGCAGAGCATGCACATGAGGAGGGACTGAGATACAGTTTAATAGCTTAATAGTTGTTAGTGGAGTTCGTAACCCAAAGCGTTTGTAAGCCGAAGTGTTTGTAACCCGAGGTACCACTGTGATACCAGAAATCAATGCAAGTACAAAATATAAAGATCCCACAAGGTTTCTGTAGTGCAAGTCTTTTATTCCCAATGGACTCCTGCAACTCTTGCAGCATGGAAAATACTGTAGTCAGGAAATATTGAAGTTGCAGCCTTACATCATCTGAAGGGCAATGGGTTAGTCACGCTTGTTAAAATGTTGTATTATAACCAGTTCCCTGTTGTTGTTGTTTTAAAAAAAAGAGAGACAAGGGACTGCAGTATCAGAAGTAAGCTTCTGCAAAGCAACTCTATTCTTACATGTTATAAGGATTCCATAGTCCAAGAACATGCTGTGAAATACTGTATAAATAGCCAAAATGGACAGATGTAGTCATTTTATTGACTGTAATTAAAATTCTATTGAATTGCAGGCATAATACATGTCTGCAAACTAAATGCACTGCAAATGAAAAGCAAATGTAAAGAAATACAAAAACGAAGCCTTATAACTTCAAAGAAAAAGTTCGCAACTGAAAACACAAAATAGCAATACCTGACTGAAGACATATGCCAATCTGCCATTAATTCTACCCTGGCCAGTTACCACACTGTCTCCAGGGAACTGCAAAAGAGAATAAAGAATGTACAACTCAGAACAGCAATATGATTAAATAACGAAATCTAATTCTTATAAATGACCAAAGCAAGTATTTGCTAACCAGAAAATCAAACTCTTTATTTAGGGCAGAGTATACATTTCAATTATGCTTGTATCATTTAAAACAGGCTGACTTCCATATTCTCCTTTAATGCTGAGTATAATTTATTTACACTCCACCAACCAAAAATAAAAACAAAAGCAACAGAATATAGAATCTATAAGATCAATAAAAGACAGGAAGAAAAACAAGAAAGTAGTCCTAGTCGAAGCAAAATTGTGTCATTTAAGAATTATGCAACTTGCTCTGTAATTTATAAATTAGAGCCATTCAAGAAAATGATCAACAGAAACTCTGATGAGCAACCTGGGAAGTACTGTGTAATAGGGTACCGTATATTAGTTTCTGTAGCTGGCTTATTAAAAAAAAAGCCCGCATTTTGAAACGTACAAAACTGATTCTACCTTTTCATTATTACAAGAGCAGTATCTATTATTTAAAACTTTATTTTATCTACCTTCTAAAACTTTGAAGGTAAGGTTAAAATATCCCAAGGAAAAAGCTTTCCTGTATTTAGGAACAGACAAACTATTCAAATAATGCATCCCATTCTTAGAATTAGGACATGACAAAAATAGCAACCAGAGGAAATGAGGCGCTTGGGCTACCCCATAAGTCAATCTCCATTAAAATCTCTGTTTAACAATATCTTTGGCTTGCTCAGTTTATAAATAACAGATGAGAAGACAGCCCAACTGAAACAACTGTCTGCCATAATTCCTTCATCCAGACAGACTAACACAAGTCCATCATCACCTGGAACACAAATGAACTGGAAGTAAGTAAAATACAACCATGAAACTGAAAGGGAATGTAATATATCCAAGTCAGGCTCTGTCTCTAAAGCACTACATATAGAATGATTGGGGATGAACCAAGCAGAGGTGGAGCATGTATAGAGGAAAGAGATGAGAACCATCCATTCTATTAGAGTAAACCATCCACCATCCAGACTCAGGCACTAGAATCAGCCAGATATTTCCAAACAGTCCCAAGAGTGTGAGCAAAATATATACCAGGTACCTTGTTTTTCTCAGCCTCCATCCCAAAATCTGCACATCTGTGTTCCACAAACATGTCATATTCTACAAAACTGTCAGGATCCAGTAAAAGAAGAACACGTTCCCTGGCTGTCAGCTTTCCCTGAAGTGCAGGAAATAATATGAACAAGGTAAGGTTTGGAGATCATTTCAGTACACCAGAGCCAAGCACAATTACAAATATAAAGAGAAAGTCAGATACTAATTTAAGGTTTTATTCAAATCCATAAATTTGCTCCTCAGAAAGCAGCTGCCTTAAACTCAATATTGCAACTGAATTTCTTTTTAATTTCACCTTCTCTTCAAATACAGAAATTGCTCTCTTCTGGAACGATCATTTTGTCAGAGATTTATTGATTAATTGATTTTTTACATTTTCGTCCTTTTAAGTAAGCAATGCTGAGTTATATACGTATGTTGAAGAGAATAAAACCCATAAAGGACTAGTACAGGAAGGGGCTAGCAAAGAAAAAGGATTGTATTCACATGTTTAACAGCCTGACTTCAGTGAAACTATTAAATGTAGTATCAGAACTTACAAATGTGCTTTTCTAAGGGTAGATAGAGCAAGTTAAATAAATCATACTTTTCAGTTTGATGTAAGGTATGATGTAGTACACCGGCGGAGTCGAAAAACCAATCACAAAAAGCTTATACAAGTTTATTAGTAATCTAAAAAGTAAATGTATAACCGGGCTATCTTTCAGCCTGATCCTTCATAAAACTTAATGTATGTACATGAATCATACACTGAAATTCCTACATTTTATCTTAGCCAAAAGGCCAAGAAGCGATACACTGAAATTCTTGTCAAAGAGAAGCTCTAATCCCAATGGACAAATCTTCTCTAATTTCCTAAAAATTTCATTCTCAGCAGAAATTTAAGTCAACATGCAAAAGTCATTTTAAGAAGCGAGACAGGGGCTCTAAATTACCATCCAACTATTTTAATTTCCCCATTATTATTGCTCATATATAAATAGGCATCAGACACAAAAATAAATTGCTGAATAAATTGTCACATATTGTCATGGTGATTCCCCCACACCTCAAAATCTTAAGAAGCCTGCAAAAATGTTCATCTTATATTGATTCAAGCACTGAAAATGTTATAGAAGCAGCACTTCAAAGAGAGCTTTATAAAAGGCAAATGCATAGTAAAAGAAGCTACAAGCAACAACGACAAAAGAAAGAAAATTACATGCCTCTGATTTAACCCTTCATTAGGAAAAAGAAGGGTCATTTAGGCACCATCACCTTCACTGGCCACATGGCCACTTGTAATCTTGTCCTGCTAATGACCTTTGCAGAAATGGCTGCATTGGTTGCCAAATAAGCTACCAGGTCATGTTCAAGGTCTTGTTAGTAAAGCCCTGGACAACTCAGGGCCAGGTTATCTGAAAGACTAAGTGACCCTGCCTAGATCTGTAAGATCACTTAAATCATCTGGAGAAATTTTACTTGTGGTAACACATCCTACAGAATATTACAGGCAGAACATCACCTGAAAGGGGATATTTCTTGCCAGTGCCCTTTACACTGTAGAATACTCTTATTTTATTTATTTACTGAAATATTTATAATCTGTACTTTCATCCCTAAAAATGCAGATTAAGCCTCATCTGTCAGTTGCTTCAGTTGTAAATAAATATCTTTTTGCCCAAGCTTTCCCTGACCCATAGGGATGGACCAAGTTATTACTTAATTCCTGTTCTGATATTACTCTTTTTATGTTGTATCTGTTTCTATGATACTGTCTTATATTTTAATATTACTAAGCTATTTTAATAATTTAAATAAATGCTTTACCTTAGGTCTCCGAAACATGGTAGGGAAAGAAATATCCAACACATGGTAGGGAAAGGAATTATTTTAAGATACTTATTTGAGCCTCAGAAAACAGAAACAGTTCAGATTAATTCCTAATTCCACTGCAAGTTCAAAGGGATCTTCAAGCCATAACTGTCTGCCCTGAATTAAAGCAAAGCAAGGTGGCTGGTAACATGTGACGATTCTGATGATCTTCAGCATTACAGATGCAGCTACAGGACGCAATCTGCAAAGTGATTATTCATTCCTCAACAGACTGAACTGCTGAGGGAGTGGGGCACAGTTAATATAAAACTCCCTTGCCAGATCACATCAAGGTCATCCCATGACTTGGTTATTTCATCCGCTAGCAACCTGAAGCCTTGAATTCATATACTTTTTCCTCCCCTTGCACTCTATAATCAGAAACTTCTGACTGTAGTTAGCAACAAACTATACCTTGGAATTGTGTCCAAAGCCAGAAAACCATGGTTTGCACACACTAGCTTCCAATTGCAAAGGCTGAGGGAGCACATGGCCCGCAACTGTTCACTCATTTAATACTAAACCATGGTTTAGTGTTACATCTGAACACAACCGCTGTCTCCAGCAGCAGCCAGCCCAATTCTTCCAAGTGCCCACAAGCCATGTTTCCATTTAGTTATAATGACTCATAATGTTTGGTACATATATCCTTCATGAATACATCCAGTTTTTTGAGCTATCAAGGTTAGTGGCCATGTGAATCCAATAGCTTAATCACGTTGTGCAGACGAATATTTTGTTTTCTGTATTTCCAACAATACAACTCAAACTGAAGACATATGAAGAAAAATATATACCCATAATATATCTGCTGACATATCTATATACGTAATATGGGAATGTTAAAAAAGATCCCAGGAACTTTGCAAAACATATGCTTCTGATTCACATTTATCCACACTCCCTCTGTGCTTCCATAGTTAGGTACCTCCAATCATTATATTGCTGCCTTCCCTTTCTGAAAATGAGAATGGATAACATCTGAAGGTAACTTCACATGTGTATCAGTGTTTTAAAATATGTGAGAAATGAGTCAGTATAGTTTTAAAATATTTGGGAAATAGTGCTTTTAATGGGGGCTTCAGAACTTTGCATTCCTGTACAAGTACTTCCAAATCCTCACATATGTGGCCTTAAGTAGACAAGATGAACCAGGGCTAGCCTCACATCCATGCTTATTTCACACACATTCCCCACCCCCCAAAACAATTCTGGGAACTGCAGTTTAACCCTCGGAGAGGGTTTCCAGCTACCCCTAACCAACTCCAGAGCCCAGAACTGAGGAGGGAAATTTGTGCTTCGAATGTGCTTTGAAGATAGTAGTTTGTAAGTAGCCCCTACACAACCCAATTTGAAATTGGGGGCCACTGGAAAGGGTCTCGGACCCCTGTCCCATCTTATTAGAATACGGGCAGGGGCATATTAAACTAACTAGACTCTCCAGGCAGCGTCCCCGCTCTGTCAGGAAAGCGAGTGTGGGACCTTCGTCCCTCCGAGGGTCGCCCAGGGACAGCCAGCTGTTGCAAGCCCAACCAGAGGCTTCCTTGCTCTCTCTCTCGCTCACCCGCCGGTGCTGTGCATCTATGCGCGCCTGGCCGCCGCCGAGCAGCGCGGCCCGACGCTTCTCCTCGATGCGCTCGGGCACCGTGGGCGCTTGCCGAGGGGGGCTGTTGCTGAGCCGGCGGGAAAACGCCAGGGAAACCCTCGGCAGCCGAAAGGGCAGGATCCGCAGGGCGGCCATGGCTGTGGACTGCGGGGACGCATGCGCGCACGGAGCGGAGGGGGGCGGATGAGGCGGGCAGGTTCCTGAAGCGTGGAAACAGCAGCAGCCATTTGCCCCGCCCAGCCTCCCTTTATATTTCTGTTACGCCTGCCTCGCCGCTTCTCTCCTCACGCTGTTATTAACTGTGTCAGAGTGCGCTTTCTTTTCTTCTTCCCCGGCGGGGTGCACACGGCGCATGAAGACGCCCCCGCCGACCGCTGAAAAGCAGTTTTTTTAATACGGTACAATGTGGTTGCACGTCACGCTGCTGGCATCTTCATGCGCTGAGCATTTTAGTGTTTCTGTTGCACAGGCCCGAGACCTCTTTTTCCCTTCAGATTGTGTTTTTTTATTGCAGGATGTGGGCTAGCGCACTAGAGTGCGTCTCCACTACTTTGCGGTGCCCCGATGTGAGTAGGGTAAGGTTGGAAATAAGGTGAGAAGGAGCTCTAGAAGAAAGGACTTCTGCACGGTCTGTAGATGTCTGCAGAAGACCGAATTTGAATAGGTGCGCTTTAGGCAAGCCACAGTGCTTCTCGGAGCATGGAGACTACCTATGCTGATTTTTTTTTACATTCAACTATTAAAGATACAGACATCCTTTGTTCTTAATTCTTACCTTTTGTACATGTGCAATGACTACTTGCTCAGAAGTAAGTGTCACTATAGGACAGGCATCCCCAAATTTGGCCCTCCAGATGTTTTGGGACTACAACTCCCATCACCCCTAGGTAACAGGACCAGTGGGAATTGTAGTCCCAAAACAGCTGGAGGGCCGAGTTTGGGGGTGCCTGCTATAGGACTTCGTCTGCAGAAAGGTTCCCTCCAGACTGGTGTTTTTCTTACTTGAGTGTTCTGCAATACGTCATTGCTGCAATAATAGTGCATTAGTGGTGGATTTATACTGGACTGTCTACACATCATTCCACTTCATTAGCTGCTGTGCAATGCTTTCCACTGTTACCATATTATAGACATCTGGAAAGGCATGCTTACGCTATAGTGTTAAGAGAAGTGGGACAAATCATCCATCAGACCTTTTATTGGCATCACATACAAGCATCCATAGCAAATCAATACAGAATTCCCGCCTTCTCAGTGACCCAAAACATTTGTCAAATGAAAGAGGCAAAGCAGTCTAACATTACATCTCTAGGTCTCCAGGGAGATCAGATGTCTGCAATGTGTTTCGATGACAAAAAACCAGATAAAGATATTTAGCCACTAACTTGGTGAACTCCTGATTATTCCCCAATAATAGAAAATGTATGACCTCTAACTCTGGTTTCCATTTGGGGATGCAGAGTTGATCTAGGAACTGCTGGCGGAGATCCACATATAGTTTACATTTAGGAACCATATGTGTAAGAGTTTCCACCTGATGGTCTTCACATGGGCAAATTCTTTCTCCTTCAAACATTCCCGAGAACCCTCCCCATAGGAGGGTTGAAGGATTTGAATTAAACCTGGCCAGCGAAAATGCCCTTCTTTCTTGAGGATTAAGCAAAAATTCAAGATAATTGTGGTTAAATTCATATGCCTAAGAAAGTTGAAAGTTAAGAGGGGAACATGTTTTCTCTGCTGCTGCTGTTAGTTCTTGGCGTTCAATGTTGGGACAAATCAGTGGGGGAGGAACCCTCTCTGGCACCTGAGGCAGCGCAGCCCGTACGGACTGCGCATGTGTAGCATCCCGCGTGTGCGCACTCCATACAGAATTTGGCTTAGCAGGTGGCCTGAACCCATAATTGTGGTTTAGCTCTCCCATAAAAAATAGGGGTGGGGAACAATCAGCCTGCGGACCAAATTTGACCAGCCACATAGCCACTTTCCCCAAACCATGCCCATCTCTGCCCCATACCTAAGAGATGCAACATCAGGTGTGGGGCAGGTAGAGACATGGCTGGATCAACTGTACAACCAAGTTCTCGATGGAGAACTTGATCATGCAGTTAATCCCTGCAGAAAGCTGGGGAAGTGATGGTTGAGGACAGGGCATGCAAAGCACTTTGCACAGCCCTTCCAAAATGCCTGAGAGCTGTTGTCAGGAATTTGGGAAGTGCTGCACATAGCGATTTGCAAGCCCTGCCATTTGCAAGCAGCTCCCAAGCACCAAGCAAAGGCCTGGCAAAGTCCCTTGTACTTTGGTTCCAAGCACTTGAAAACTAACTGGTTGTTGGGCACTCGGGAAGCACTGAACCAAGGGACTTCGACAAGTGGGTGGGACAGTCTACCTGTCCATTACCTGATATCACAATGACGCCCAGTGCCTGGCAAGCAGTCCTGCCCACCTGTCAAAGTTGGTCCATGGGGCTGGGGACAGATAGGGATCTGGCCCAGCAGGCTAAAAAAATTCCCCACCTGTGCTGTACAGCATAAGACAAACCTTGGTTACAGTTTGTGTTTTATGTGGGGAGATAATAAACCACCAGACCCTCCAAGTGCCCCTATTTTCCATTCCTGGATTTTCCATTCCTGGATTTACAGAAGCTGACCCAGTTTCTGATTTGACCCTGGAATGTCCCACTTTTCCTTAGAGTGTCCCAATTTTCATTGGAGAAATGTTGGAGGCTATGGAGTAATCTGACCCCTGAGCCATCTGAAGGCAGCCCTGTATAGGGAAATTTTTTAATGTTTAATGTTTTATTATGTTTTTATATATGTTGGAAGCCACCCAGAGTGGCTGGGGCAACCCAACCAAGTGGGAGGGGTATAAATGGTATTATTATTAGTAGTATTTAATAGGATGTCCCTGTTTTCATTGGAGAAATGTTGGAGGGTATGAACCACAAGCCTGGTTTCTGACTAGATGCTAAGCTAAACCATGACTTAGTATATCAGCAGAATGGGAAGGAACAAAATGGTTGCAGTCTCCCTTCTGGAAGCCCATACATTTGCTTGTTTGCACTAAGACATGGTTTGGCTTAGTGTTACCTGCAAACTGGGCCTCTGTGATGTGTAAATAACAAATACCTAATCAAACCTACCTGTTTACAACAGGTTGAGCAGACCACAAAGCTTCTAAAAGCTGCCCTTTAACAGAAATTGGATGTTTGCCAGCAAAGCACTCAGTGGAGAAGTCTCATAAGAGACATCAATTATTTTGAAGTGTAGTACTTCTAAACTGATAATTTCAGCTGTACTGCTGTCTGTCTGAACTTTTCTACCTTCATCTAGCATTTTTATGCCTTTTTTGCTCACACTCCAAATGGATGGCTTATCGTCCATTGATTATAATATAATATTGAATATCATCCAATGATTATATTGTTCCACTCTGTTAGTGGGGTATATAAGGTGTTGGGGGAGGGATAGTACCTTTGGTGGGGGGCACATTGTGCTCCTTCTTGGGTAGTTTGTCCACCTTGGGTCCTCATCTTGCACTCAGCTCTAACCTATAGCCCCTAAAAGCTGTCAGCCACACCCTGGGAGCAGCTTCAACTGACTGGCTAAACCAGGTGTGGCTAGCCGATGGGTCTCAAACCCTCTGGAGCCTACCTGTGAAGATAGGCTCCAGAGGATTGAGTGGATGAAACCAACAATGGGTTCAACGAGCCTCTGTGGGGATCACTCTCCTCCCAAGGAAGCTTGGGAGGGAAGCTGCGTACCTGCCAGCCATATGGTTGGCGGGGCGCAACTCTCCCCCATGCCGCTGGAGGAGAGCAATCCCCACAGAGGCTTGGGAGGGAAGCTGCGCCCTGCCAACCATATGGCTGGCAGAGCACAGCTTCACCCCCTCCCCCACTATCTGTGGTAATTTGGGGGCGCTGGGTGGATATTTGCACCCTGGCACCACATCTGCTAAAGACGACCCTGCTTGCATACCTCCTTTCAGCAGCTCCTGCAGCCAAGCTGGTGCCAAAGGTATTGCTCTGCTTTCCTCAGGACCACATCAGTGAGGCTGAGGGGGAAAGGGTCTTGTCACCTAGGCAAGGTGACCTCCATACAAATTGCCCTGGCTTGCGCCCTGTGGATGTCACACTGTAGTTTGACTTCACCCATTGATCAGTCAGTACATTTCCCCCTAAATTTCAGGCTTTTTGATAGAACTTCTGACCACTGCTATAACCCTGCTTATATCAGTGGGATTCCAGCAGTATAAATGAGCAGTTAGTCATCTCAGTCATTGCATTAACCACTTAACTAGCAATCATCAGGTAGGACCACTTATACTTTAAATTATTTTCACTGAATGCACTTACATAAGGCGTAAGAACGTCTACATTAGCATATAAAATCATGTCTCAGAATGTGGATGAATCCAAAGCAGTTACCAGGGGGTTCCTTCCCCTTTATGTTATATTCATCCTCTGTTTAAGATGCTAATTAAAAATCTGTCTTTGCAGCAGAGGATGAGGAAACCATAATGTTCAAGCCATGCATGTCATGAAAAGCAGGCATCGCTTATATTTTAAATGATTGGCTTTTTTCTTCCATTACCAAAAAGAGATCACAAAAGTCTTGTCATGTGTCATCTAAAACATATGCTCCACTGGCAGGATTACTAGTAAGAACGATATTTATTCCCCTCCACAATTAGTAGTGACGGTGCTGTCAAATGCCCTTGAGCTCTACTGAGCATGCTCACTTTTTCTGGTCTGTTCATTGCATTTGATTCTTTAGCTGTAGCCTCTCTCTCCCCTTCATTGCTTTTATGTACAGACAGAAGAGACGGTAACCAAAAGAGAATCTACATTATTCCTCCTGCACACTCCATAAACTGAACATTTGGGTCTGTGTTTCTGGATTCACAGGTAGCTATTCTCAATTCTCTGTTTTCTTCAAATTTAAAAGACAGGAATGGATACACTATCGGATGCTGGAGAGCATATTTTCTCCCTTTAACATCTCTTGGTATGGTATATTTTTGAGGGATCACTTACTCAGCAGCTTCTAAACAAGAGGTAAATTTTATTTTCTCTTATTTGGTTGTTGTATTGTTTTCTCTTCTTGCATGACATTTCAGCTGTCATTTGGTGTCTGCTTAAGCAAACCTTGTTTCATTTTAAGTCCTTCGTATTTTTGTAGGCATGTAACTTTAAAGCTGTCATCTCTTCAAACCATGAATGGGAAATACCACAGAGCAACTTTTGAGTGCCGCAGTTTCAACAAAATTGTACCAAGCAGCTGATATTATAGCTAGAATTATGCCATATATCTTAGAAGGAACACTCTCTCATCTCTGGTTTTGTTGAGTATCCATGCTGCTGAGATCTCTTCAACTGGCACTCACTAGCTCTGAGGGTACGTCATTCCCACCCTGTATTTTACATCAGCACTGAGGTTGGGATTCATTTTTCAGCATGTCTGCTGTCTAAGAATCTAACCACTTACTGTATTGGATGGGAGACCACATGTTGAGATTTCTGCATTGCAGGGGGTTGGACTAGATGATCCTGAGGATCCCTTCCAACTCTACAATTCTATGATCCTATAGTTTTACACAGTGCTTTTTTTCTTTAAAAAAATGTTTAGGGGTGCTCTCGTTTTGCCTCAAGAAAACCACCATTTTATAGTTCAAATCTGGAAAAATAAATACAGTAAATGGACAAAATGCTTAGGGGTATGCGTACCCTTGCACACCCCCAGAAAAAAAGCACTGGTGTTACATTTTAATTATAAATTATAAATTTTAATTATAAATTTAATTTGTGCCATAAAAGTAAACACTATACAGTTGGGGTGGGTGGGGTGGAGGAAAGGTTAGAGAATGAGATGGATGACTTAAGTTCGTTCATGTTTGCATAATAAGAAAGCAATATTAAATTTGTCATTTGAACCATTTTAGCTAGCAGCATCGGTACAATGTTTCGAAAGTTAGTCTTACAAATTTTAGACCTGAGTTTATGAGCTACTGTGCCTACAACTAACTAACTAACTAACTAACTAACTAACTAACTAACTAACTGTATGTTCAGGATTGAGCATGCTGACTTATGCACCCATGCAACAACATAACCTGTAGCATCACACTAGCATTCCAAACTGTTGAAGAACATCAGTACTGGTCTGGTAGCACAGGTCAACATGACAACATCAGAAAAAGCTACCATCCCTAAAGTAGTTGCATTGCACAGAAACAGGTAGAGAAGAATAGGACTGGGGGTGACGTGTATACAGGGCATCTTCACCCTAAAGGTTTTTAGCCACTACAGAGACAGCTATGTTAGCAAAGCCATATTTCATAGATTTGAGTGCTGTTGATTCAATTTTACATTTCAAACCTGTTTTGGACACATTTGACCCTAAAAAGGTGGCCTAAAAGTGTTAAAATAAACAACAAAAACACTTAATCTGGTATAACATTACTAACGAGTATCAACAGCAGTGGAAATAATATTGGAACACAAAAACAACATTCTAGGATGTACCTGCTGGATAACTACATATCACTGCAGCTATATAATGTTAACGTATGCTGCATGACACCCCAGTGTAACTGTGTACAGCTGCTGGGCCAAACTGTGACATATTCTGTAACAAAGCTGGTTTCTGTATCTAGCCATCACAAGGTCACCTTCTGGGTCAAAATGGAATCTCTCTATATTTTACTTAAGTGTAAAGAGCCCTTCAGAATGAACCATTTCTAGAACTGCAATAACAAATTAAAGCATAGGAAAAATGGTACGGGTATTGCAGGGGAGGTAAACACCAAGCATAAATTGTCTAATAATAGCATGTGCATTAATGATTATAGCACAGCATACTAATCGCATGTCACCACTGGTTTTCTGTAATGGTTATTTATATTTTCAATCTGGTGTCTGCTCAAGCAACCCCAGCTTACCTAAGGCATCAATAGAACAGTAATAATTTCTAGATGATACAAAATTGCAGCCAGAACAGGTTTATCCATGCTGAAATGATTATATTTTGTTTGCTTTTTTCTTTGTGATCAGTCCTAGTTACCTGAGGAAATGGATACTTCACCTTCCAAACAATATCCAGTAAAAAAACGAGTGAAAATTCATCCTAACACAGTGACAGTGAAATATACTTCTCATTATCCACAGCCTGGAGAGGAAGGGTATGAAGAAGCAAATGAAGACATTGAGAGTTTTGTGGAAGATAATCCAAAGAGAAGATTGCTGAGCAATGGCCAGCGGAGAGGAAGATCCTTCTTTGGCACTATTGACATCCCATCTCAGGAACCACAAAAGCCAGAAGCTAATAAGAGTGGGCAAGGCCAAAGTTTTGTAGACAGAAGCATTTTTCAGTCCAGAAAGACTTGGGCAGTGCTTTTTGGATCTGCTTTGGCCCATGGTTGTGTTGCCCTGATAACTAGACTTGCTTCTGATCGTTCCAAAGTGCCATCTCTAGAACTGATCTTCATTCGTTCTGTTTTACAAGTGTTTTCCGTCTTAGTTGTGTGCTACTACCATGAGGAACCTTTTGGACCGAAAGGATACAGACTGCGGTTGTTCTTTTATGGAGTATGCAATGTTATTTCCATTACCTGTGCTTATACTTCCTTTGCAATAGTACCCCCAAGCAACGGGACTACAATGTGGAGAGCTACCACCACTGTCTTCAGCGCCATCTTGGCATTTTTATTAGTAGATGAGCGAATGGCTTACATTGATGTAATCACTGTGGTGAGTAGCATCTTTGGTGTTTGCCTGGTCATGATCCCCAACATTGTTGATGAAGAAGATTCTCTGCTTAATATTTGGAAAGAGGCCTTTGGATATACCATGACAGTTATGGCAGGCGTAACCACAGCTCTTTCCATGATCGTGTACAGGTCCATTAAGGATAATGTCAGCATGTGGACAGCACTGTTTACCTTTGGTTGGACTGGAACAGTGTGGGGAGCCTCCACCATGTTTTTCCTCCAAGAGCCAATAATTCCACTGGATGGAACAAGCTGGGGCTATCTCATGGGCATCTGCATATGTTCCACAGTGGCTTTTCTGGGTGTCTATTATGCCTTGAACAAATTTCATCCAGCCTTGGTCAGCACAGTGCAGCATCTGGAGATTGTGATAGCTATGATCCTTCAGCTCCTTGTGCTACACATCTTCCCCAGCATCTATGATATGATTGGGGGAGCAGTTATCATCATTAGTGTCTTTTTCCTTGCATGTTATAAACTGTCTTGGAAGGACTTAAGAAAACAAGAGTATGAGGAGATACTAGATTCTTGTATTAAATGACTGCAAAGCTGTATTTTGTTTACTGATATCTACAATTAATATTCATTTGTGTATGTCTTTTGTAGAGTGTTGTTGACAGCATACTGCCATTTCTTGTCTGAATATAAAAGGTTACATCTGCCCTAGTATAGCTCAGTGGAGTTGCACTAGAAATTTCTGTCCTGTGTAGGAGAAATGTTTTAAAATGTTAATGCTGTGAAAATTAGATTTTCTTCTTAACTAGTATATAAGAAGTGCCAATATTTAATATACACAACTCTGTCCTTTAAAATATGTCTCATTAGAGTCTAGCAGGCATAGTCAGACCCTAAGATTTTTATATCAGACTATGATGTTCACCTGTGTAAAGCAACCATTTGTTGGGTCTCAGGCAAGGTAGTCTTCAGAAGGAAATAGCAAACTGAGCCCCTTAGCTTCTCACCACAAATAACCAGATCTTAAATGGAAGTTTTTACAGAGGTTTGTTGTAGTATAGGTTTTGACACATTACCTATTCTAGGTTGTTATATGCATATATGGTTCCTACAGATTTCATCTGGCTTGCCAATTTGCATTTCTTGCATTGACTGGAGCTCACTGATGGTGTGTAGCCTGAAACCTGACCTGACAACCTCAACTCACAGCATGCTTGCTGTGGATTCAAGAGCAGAGACAGTGTGACCGCAGAGAAAAGCACAGCAGCCGAACATGGACACTGAATGATTGCTCATGGAAACAATATATTGTTTGTTTTAATATGTAATGTTTTATAAATAAGAATTTTAAATTGTATGTAACAATTATAATAATGATGACGATGATGATAATAATGATAATAATAATAATATACTTGATCTCTGCAGCAATAATTTATATGAATTATTCCAAGAATCTCTAACAGTGCTTGCCCTGCAAAGGTCTTCATTGGCAGCCATTGGCAATATTTAATATTTTTTTTAAGTCAAGTATCTAGCCCTTAAGATATGAAGCAAAATGTGCAGGTATCCTTCTAAGTAATTTATGTGAAATGAGCCAGCATGGCTCACTTTTCAATGTTCTTAGCCAATGGGTGAAGTCAGATATGTGATTGATAAGTAAGTGACCCCAGGCAACAGAAATCCCTGGGGTTCTCCCCCCTTTCATGCATCTTTCCTGCTTCAGTCTTATTTTCTAGCAGTCCTTGGAATCTGTAGTTTGACCTTCCTGTTTTTCTAGCAGCCAGGACACATCTTTCCTCTGATGCTTCTCACCTGATATCAGGTACTCCCTAGAAGTTATTTTCTGCAAATACTACTGCAGAATAAGTGCAAGTGGATTTAAAGTATCCTCTTCCCAAACTGAAAATGTGAATATTTTGCAAAAAGGCTTAGGCATGTGTCTTGCTGTGTTGAAGCTGATGTCCAGGCGCTCATTAAGAATTCACTGTGTAGTTAACCTGCAGCACAGTGGCTTGTATGCCTACTTCAGAAGTAAGTCCCTTTGTGTTTAATGGGGCTTACGTCACAGGTTAGTAGATGCAGAACGGCAACTTAGAATTGGGTTTTGGGTTGGTATTGGGGGAAATATGGTTTTTGTGCCACAATCAGGACCAGAATGACATAGTTGACTTCCCATGGTAAGGGGGGGGGGGAGGGAGGGAAACAGCATCAATACTGTAATCTCTAATTTTATGTCCAGGCTGGAGAGTGATGACATAGTATACTTCTACGAACCCAGAGTCATTGCTCTACTTGTGCGTATGCAATTTCTGATGCTCTTTCACTGCCAGAAGCTGTGGTTAGGGTGTGGTTTAGGATGACAGGGTTTTTTAAGGCTACACTCTTGAATCTTCCAGTTGCGGGAAACAACACGGGTCTCGGGCTCTTAGTTTCTACTTCTAGTTGTCCTGCCCAGTTGATACTGATGTCAGAATGTTTCCTGATCCTGTTTATAAATCATGTTTTTCAGGGCCGTCTTAATCATATCCGGTGCCGTGGTGAAAAGACCCCTCCGGCAGTGCCCCCCCCCCCCCGTTTCCCATAGTTTGGGGGGACCCCAAGGTTGTTGACCTTTTTAAATACCTTTTTTTAGGGAGCTGACACCACGCTTACGCATTATCTCTAACAAGCCCTAAGAACAAAATAAAATGAAAAGGCAGAAGAAAATCTAATGAAGTCCTCAATTCCAAAGCAAGACTCATTCAAGACTCAGCAGTTCTTCTAATTCATCCCCATGATTCAAATCACCACATATCAAAAAGTTAAAGCAATCACCAGTTTGTTGTTCTTTAAATAAATTGATAAAGAGGCAGAGAATGAAGTTCCCGGCATCCCGCTACCTCCTCTCCCAGGCAGAAAGCGAGAGAGCGTGGCTGGCCGTAGGAAGAGCTGCCTCCCAGCATGCCCTCATAGCTGTTCCTGGTTGGTCCCAGACTTCCGCTGCTGGGCATCCCTGATGGGCGGGCGCTGTGGTGCAGGACACCACTAACCCTAATGGGTAAGACAGCCCTGATGTTTTTGGGCCTAGATTCATTCTCTGTGCTTGACCTTAGCTTGTTGAGCAAGGTTGAAGGTGCAGCATAGACTCAGGTGTCTTACGTAGTAAAAGGTGTTACTCTCCTTAGACTTGGGGCCCTTCCATACCTCAGGCTAATGTGGATTGTGAGCCCCATTTGCCTCTTTTATTTCCCTCTCGCCCATGCAGCATTCTTGCCCAACTACTATTGCCCCACATGTTTTCCATAAATCCAGAGATTAAAAGGTAAAGGTACCCCTGCCCGTACGGGCCAGTCTTGACAGACTCTAGGGTTGTGCGCTCATCTCACTCTAGAGGCCGGGAGCCAGCGCTGTCTGGAGACACTTCCGGGTCACGTGGCCAGCGTGACAAGCTGCATCTGGCAAGCCAGCGCAGCACACGGAAACGCCGTTTACCTTCCCGCTAGTAAGCAGTCCCTATTTATCTACTTGCACCCGGGGGTGCTTTCGAACTGCTAGGTTGGCAGGCGCTGGGACCGAGCAACGGGAGCGCACCCCGCCGCGGGGATTACCTATGCTGAATAGGAGTCCAAATCAATTGCACAGAGAACCTCCAGACTTAGGGATGTTAACGGAAATTCAAGGGTCCTCTTGGGCAAATGAAGACACCGACCAGAGCAAGTCAGAGCAAAACAGCAGCCAGTAGGCTCGGTCTTTATTTAGAAAGACTGTCGCGACAGGACTCCCACCGCCCACAAGGTGAAGCAAAATGGAAGCCCCGAACAAAGGGAGACCCTAACTTTTATTAATTGCTAATCCCCTAAGCTACACCCTCAGAATTACATCACATTTACATCATGATTATATTAAAAATAGGAGGAGTTGGGGAGGGGCGGCACAGGTAACCCGAGTGTCCTGACACCTGGCCGGAGCCCCCTTCCCCCTCCCCGCATGAGTCATATACAGAATCAAAGGAAGAGGGCGAAGTTTCCTGCCCCCTGAGGAGAGTCCGATCACAGTCTTTTGTGTGTGTCTGCGCGGAATACACGAAGATATGCAGTTCATTGTGTCTTTGATAGCCTCCTGTCTGAGCCCATCACTGATGGCTATCAAGGTGGTCACGTCTAGTAGGAAGGAACACAGAGTACGTGACTGCTCGGTTAAGGGATTATGGCCGCTTGATTTCGGACCACCCCCCTTTGATAGTCTTTGTAATATCCAGCAGAATAAAAGTGGTCCGGTGAAAATCCGAAGTACGGCTGATTTTTAGTGAATTTATGAAGAATATTGTCTTTGAAGTTCAAAGCACTTTCGCCTTCAGGAAGCGGCTTGCTACATTTTGATTAGATCAGTCACGGTCAATTGAACTCGGAAACCTTGTATTGAGAGCTGTCAAAGGAAAGGGGGAAAACGGTAGTAGCCTGCAGTACCTGCGTGGCCGCCGCAAGGGGCGCTGTTCGGTAATGTTGATTGGCTGAGGCGGGCGCCGATTGACAGCGGATTTTCGGTCGGCCGGTCTACTCACAATAAAAATAGGGCCGTGCGGAGCGCTATGGCGAGAAGCTGTCAAACTAGCGCTTCCTTATTTACGGAAGGCTTTAAGGGATGGCCCTCTAAAGGGGACATCTCCAGGGTCGGGGGGGGAGATGTGTGCGTGTGTGAGTGTGGTGCTTGTGTAACACGTGTCGGTGAGTTGGGGGGGGGGTTTCCGGCGACAGTTCCCCCCTTCGGAGATAAGATTGCAAAGGCAGGGAAGCCGTGCAATCCTTTTCTCCGCATAATCAATAGAGGCTTGGGATGTCATACCTAGAGTCCAGGGTCCGGAGGTTATGCAAAGGTCCCAATTCAATGGGAGTTGACTGGATCTCTGCCGTCGGTGGCCTATAGATGGTGGTTGATCGCGGACGAAGGGCGGGAAGACAGGAGCCGCAAGTTTGACAGCACATCGGGAAGCAGTGAATCATGCAGCAGAAGAAAGCAACGCAGATGGCAACAGTGATCAGTATTAAGAGGCCGTTCCCCAGAAGTTGTTTTATCCAAGTCGACCCGGTAGCCAGCTCCAGAGCTGAGTGTCCGACAAGCCCTCATGTTGGATATCTCTAAGTTTATCGGTCAATTTGTAGATGTTGTTAAGGTGTCCTGTGATGTTCAGGGTCTGGTCAGTGACGTGCGTGCAGCATTCGGTTCCTATGAGGGCACAAACCCCTCCAGTCGAGGCGAGTACGTAGTCCAAAGCAAGGCGGTTCTGGATTGAATTTTGCCTGACCTCGGTTAGTTCAGTTAAGATGGATTGGGTAGCTGCATTGGATTCCTCCATAAAGTTCAGCAGTATGTCAGTCAGTTTGAGGATGTCAACGTGGTTTGAGCCGGCCCCATAGGCGGGAAAGAGGGCTCGGCCGTAAGTTTCCCCGTTGGCTGCAACATCGGAGAGCTCCGACAAGTCTTTTGCTCTCTTATTTCGCCTCTTTCCAGGGGGAAGCTCTTGGGTAACGCGGACCCCAGGTAAAATCAGTCCAAGGTAACAGGTGCCACGGGAGTGGGGGCTAGCCCAGACGTAGCCGCGGTGGCCACAGATCCAGAACAACCCTTGCAGGCACGAGTCTATGCGCCCAGTATTGAAGGTGCGGAAGAAACACTGGGAAATTGGGGAAGGGTCCCAGGGATCAGGCAAGTTCATTACACGCTTCCATGCGGACAGTAAAGTAGGGTGGGTAGAAGGGTTGCCTTGGTGCCATAGGGTAACTCTGCCGCTTAAGGTAATATCAATGGTGTACTTACAGGTACTTTCACCGATGACTTTGTCGTTGCCGCTGAATTTTCGGCAGAGGTCGCCTGTAGCGGGTCCGGTGAGGTAGATGTACTGGTGGGTTAAGTTCACAGCGGTCAGGTTCCAGGACCGTACATCAGCGGAAAGATGTTGTTCCAAGGTGAGGGGCACTCCAAGGAATGGTATGCCACTGTGGAGGTGTGAGGGAGCGTTGGCGCAGATCCAGCATTCGTTGGTGGTTGTTTGTTTTGCGATTTGGGAGATGAGTTTCACATAGGTATTGGAATGCCAGGTGGACAGGAGGTCGTTGTTGTTGGGGTCTTGGGACATTGACAGTTCCCCCCTTTGTCGAGGTGCGGTGCCGGCAGGATGAAGGGGGTCTTGGCGCAACAAGTAGGTCAAATTGGTGGTTAGGCCTCCGCATCTCTGTGGCCCGGTGGTGTCCCATTCTGCTGTAGGCGGTACTGAGTGATGCCATCCTTCTAGGTATGCTTTGCCGTCCCAATTGGAGGCTAATCCAATATCCCAGACGCAGCAGTACCTTCGGAGGCAGATGCCTTGTAAAACGGTTTGGCGGGGGGTGG